TGGAGCACCTGGGTAGCTCAGTCGGTTAAGTGTCTGCCTTCCGCTCGGGTCGTGATCCCAGGGTTCTGGTCCTGGGATCAAGCCCCATGGGGAGTCTGCTTCTCCCTCTCCCTCTGCTCATGCTCTGTCTCTCTCACTTGTTCACTCTCTTTCTCTCTCTCTCTCTCTCAAATAAATAAATAAATAAATAAATAAATAAATAAATAAATAAATAAATAAATAAATAAAATCTTTAAAAAACATAATGAAAACTTTATCAAAAAACACCATAAAGTTAAAAGGCAAATAATGAACTGTAGGAAATGCTACGTATTTGACCACAAAATTTTTCTTAATAGTGCTTCAATTCAATTAGGAAAAGATAAACATTCCAAAGGAAAAATGGACAAAGTGCATGCAAATATATATCACTTTCAAAAGAAATACAAATTATAAATAGAAAAAAGTTTCACCTTGCTACCAAAGAAATGAACCATGTTAGCAAATATTTATAAATGATAATGCCTCGTATTGTGGGTGGGAGAAACAGGCACATTTATACACTCTTGGGAGAACTATTAACTGGTATGAGCTTCTGGTGGGCAATTTGGCATTATGCTTCAAAAGCCTTTAAAATATCTTTTTTTGGATCCAATCATTTCCATTACTTCTATGAACTTATCTTAAGGAAATGATTACCTCTTTATACACAGACTAATGCACAAAGATTTGATGTATCTTAGAGTGAAAACTTGTAATACCTGGCAAGTACGATAAAAAAAATGGGTTAAATAAATTGTGCAACAAACATGTTATTTTTATATTCAGAAAATTGGTATCATTTCTAAGGTTTATATGATATTATCATGGAGTTTTAAAAGAGAAGAAAACCTCTGGAGAAGTCATTTCATCTTTTACGTGTGAGGTCATGGAGGCAAAGGACAGGGTGGCAAAAGTGAGAAGCTGGAAGAAGAGAAAAATGTTCTAAACCAGCTCTGTCCCATATCATAAATACTGGTCACAGGTGGCTATTTAATTTAAAGTCAAATAAAATTTAAAATTCAGTTATTTAGTTGCACCAGCCATATCTCAATAGTGCTCAAGAGCCACAGGTGGCGAGTGGCTGTGGGATCCAACTGCACAGATAACAGAATGTTTCCATCATTGTGGAAAGTTCTGTTGGACAGCACTGACCTAAATGTTCTACCTCAGGCCTGGATCCAGCTTTTGGCACATCTCTTCAGCCTCATCCCTTGGTACATTTTTTTCCCTCCGCCGTTCTCTAGCAGTAAGCAGCAAGCAGAGCGGAGGGACACGAGAGCATATTTGCCTGCTTCTCCCAGTCCAGTTGGGGGTGGGGGGAGACGCATTATCCAGGTAATTATACACAGCTGGATGTGGAATTGCAGATATATACGTAGATTACTGATACAGCACAGAGCTCAGGCTGGGGTTCAGGGAAGACTTCCCAGAGGAAGAGGGGACAGGTGTCCGCCAAAAAGACTCTCCTAAGTAGAGCAAAGAGCATGATAGGAGTAAAGGCACAGAGGAGAAAAGGCACAGCATAGGGAAAGAATTACCAGCTGGTCAGGCATTTATTCATTCAATAGAGAGTAAATGTCTGTGTAGGCCAGGCCTGGGGCGGGCTCTGGGGACAGAGTAGTGACCAGAACCCGGATGATCCCTGTCCCGATGATGCCTACACTCTCATCAGTACTGCTGGGGGCCAGGGCACTAAGGGGCACACGAGTAGTGCAAAGGCCTCGCACCTCATGTTAAGGAGTCTGGTTTGTCAGCCTAGCTGTTGAGTCCTCTTTTCGGCCTCAGTGAGGGCCAGAGTCCCACCTCCTATCTTTCTCCTTGTCCCCCCCACCCCGTCCCCACCACTGCTGTGGGACATGGGCAGCTCCTGAGAGGGGGGGCGTGCTACACCCCGCCCCAACGGCCAGTCATGATGTGGTAAAGACAAAGTGGTAAAGACAAAGTCCAGCGGGGAAGCTACCGGGGTCATCTGGAAGCGGGGGCAGGGGGGCGCTGGAAGGGGGCGGGGCGGACTCTAGCGACGCGGGAGCGGGAGGAGGAACGCCCGCTGAGAGAGAATGGGTCTGGCCGGGCAGAGCGGCTGGAAGGCGTGTCTGTGGAGCAAGGTTCCAGGGAGAGGGGACCCAACAGGACAGTTTCAGAAGAGTTCCCTAGGCCAAACGAGGGGGACCGGGATGGGCAAGGGCTCTCCCGGCAGAGGACAGCAGGACAGCCGTCCGCGGGTCGGAGGGGCCCCAGGGCCCAGCGCATTGGGGGGGCCACACCGCGCCAGGATGGGCGGGGCTGTGAGGCAGCAGGTGTGCGTTACCTGCCGAGCCAGGCTGGGGAGGCTGCAGCTGGCCTGGGTCCTGGGACAGCGCAGAGGCTCCCGCAGGACGGAGGCCTCCCTGGGACTCCAGGGGGCTATTTCCCGACCTTGCCCTTGAGCATTTACAGGAGGCGGCCCGGCACATTCTCCACAGCCCCAAATCAGCCTGGAGCCCGGCTCTGCTCGGGGCCTGCCTCAGCCCTGGCGCTTTGGGGGCGTCTCGTCGGATCTGGGTTCCCAACATTCACTGGTTCTTGTCTGGGGCGACACCCTCCCGCACCTGCCGCTTGGACGAGCCAGCCCCCCGCGACCCCTGGCCGCTCGGCCCTGGCTCCTTGTCGGATCTCCTCAGAGCCCCCCAGCGACCCTTCCCCGCGCCGCGGCCTCACAGCCCTCGGTCCCCTCAGACCGCCCCCCGCCCACCACGTGGCCGGCTCCCCTCTTCCGCCCCTGTCGGCCGCACCCGTCCCCGGCCGCGGTACCTGGGGCTCTCGAAGCTGCACCCCCTGCGCCGCAGCGCCGCCCTCTTCTGCCGCAGGAGCGCAGCGGCCGCCCCGCCGGGCTCCGGCTCCATCGCCCCGGGCGGGGGCAGCGGGCTCGGACGCACTCGGGTGGGCTCGGGCCTCGGCGGGGCTCGGCCGGCCGCTCGGCTCGCACGCCGCAGCCCATGCCCCGCCCCGCGCGCCGCCGCCGGTCCGAGGCCCCGCCCCGCCCCCACCCCGAACTTCAGCCCAGCCCACTCCTTGCCCCGCAGCTGGGGCCAGACCCCGCCTCGACCCCGCCCCGAACTTCAGCCCCGCCCACCCCGTGCTCCTGAGTCAGGCCTAGGCCCCGCCCCGCCCCGCCCCACCCCCGCCCCGAACTTCAGCCTCGTCCTCCCCGAGCTCCTCGGGCGGCTCAAGGTCCCGCTCAAGCCCCGAGCTCCAGCCACGCCCTTCCCACGCCGGCCCCACCGGGTCCAGGGCGGGCTGTCCTCACCTCCGTCGGGCCCACTCGCAGAAAACGCCGCCTGTCCTCAGAGCCGTCGGGCCGCGGCCCCGCCCCTCCCGCTCCTACCCCTCCGCACAGCCCCGGCCCCGCCCACTCCTCCACGACTCTGCTCCTGAGCGCCCGCGGGGCGGCCGCCCTCACCCGACGGGTCGGCTCCCTAGAGCGTCGTCGCTCCGCACCTCAGTACCTTCTGGCCATTTCTCACGTAGCAGCGTCCCTCTGGGAGCCGCCTCTCCCTATGTCCCGCCCCCAGGCACGGACCCCCTTTTCTCTCTACAGCCCCCGGCACTGGGGCCCGCTCACTCCAGCAGCCTCCAACCCGGCTAGGACAGGGCCCCGCCCACAGCCCGCCTTCCCCAAGCCCCGCCCACAGCCCGCCTTCCCCAAGCCCCGCCCACAGCGCAGCCCCGCCCGCCCCGCCCACCCCGCCTCACCTGCGCTGCCGCCCGGGCCCCGGCCGGTTGTGCGCTGGGGTAGGACGCCTGCCCCGAAGGCTAAATCGGTGTTCCCCCGTAGTCTGCGTTAGCTCGCGGATCTCTCCATCCCTTAAAGTGGAGGTTCTGCTGTCGCCTGGTGGCCGTTTGTGGCGCCCGACGCAGTGAGTTTTGCAGGCGACCAGTCTTGACGGGATGTGATGAACTCTCTCCAGCTGTGTGACAACCACCACACCCCCCACCGTCTTCACCTCCTCCCCAAGTCAGATGCATCCGTCTCGGAGCCCTTGAGCACTGCGCTGGGGCTGAGGGGAGCGACACTACCTGGGTAAATTTGGGGGTCACTGTGCCATCTAAATCGTGTGGAGGTGGTAAGCTAGGGCTCCTCAGCAAGCAGGGCTTGTAGTGGCTAGGGAAGTGTGGCTATGCTGGGGTGGCAGAGCAAAACCTGAGGAGCATGTGTGGGAGCCTGTGGTTGGGGAACTAGCCACTGCAGTTTTGGAAGGCTCTAGCTGGGAAACTGAGGCAGGCAGGGGCTCCCATGATCAATTTGGATCATGTCATTGGCACACATTCCCTCATGACTTTCCCACTGCTTTCGCTGTAATGCCTAGACTTCTTTGCTGCCGCACATTCCAGCCAAGAAGCCAATCTGGATAGAGAAGGTGAGAGAGAGAGGTAGGGAGCTTTCTACTTCTCCTTCCAGCCCCTTGAGACTCCACCTCGGTCCTCCCATGCATTTCCGTGAGACAGTCTTGTAAGACAGTTCCCCCTTTTCTTAAGCTAGAGTGGGTTTCTGGTTTTTGCCTGACATCTTGAACTCCCCCAACATCTTTTCAGACCTGGATCCCATGACTCCCCCAATTCTTTATTCAGTGAGACTGGCTTGGCTGCTGTTCCCAACTTCATCCTGCTCCTTCTCCTTTCTGTCTTCCTGCTTCCCCCGTCCTCCATGTGTTCAGCAATCTCTGAAATGAGTCTCCAAATGCCCCTGTCCCCCGTCCCCAGATCCTCCATCTCCCTCTCTGAGTGCCCAAAGCACTGACTCTGTCTCTTCCTGAAGGGATTGCTCCCATTTGTCATTTCTGTTCTAGTAACCTCTAAGCAGGGTCCTAGTGCCCCAGACCTCCTTGATGTCTGTATTTGGCACAGCAATGGTTTGCTAGTGAATGCAAGTGATTAATAAATTGAGCAGTATTCATTGGAAAACACATTTAATTTCAAAGTAAACAAAGATGTTTGTACATTAAAGTATTTAATTAGTGAAACAATTATCAGTGTAACAAGCTGAAAAATACAGCAACTTGATACAAGACTGAGGTAACAAAATACTTCACCAAAAATCTAAAGAATCCCACAGAGGGCTGATGTTCAGTGGTTATTGCGGGTGAGACAATTCACAAGAATTAGAGAAAGTCCTTACACAACTGCATGCAGGAGGTCTGCTGGAAAAAAAAAAAAAAAAAGACAGCCCAGGAGTAGTGCAACAGATTTAACAAGAAACGAATTAAAATGTAGAAACGGATTTTCAATTTACTTTGAAGAATACATAAGAAATTGAAAACTACTCTCTATGCAACATTTTGAATGCTAAGTGAAAAACCATGCATTTTGGCACAAAATTTATTAAAGATTATGCCATACTAATAAATTAATTACTAATATCTCATTACTGAATGGTCACAGTCATTCAGAAATGGGTAAAGAGATTAATGATTATAAAATGGACAGATGATCCTTCGAGTTGCTGCTGCAAACAGGGATTTCCAGGCTGCCCCCAGCGTACACACACGTGTGCAGTACAGGACTCCGAGGTAGTCCATGGTACAAGTCCTCAACACCCAAGAAAATGCAGCTCTTGCTCACGCTGTACTTGCATTTAACATTGAAATTAAAACTAAAAAGCCTCTGAAGTAAATACTGTGAACATTCTGACCCTACTCTTTCATGCCACCTCAGAATCCTTCTCAGCATGCCCAACCATAGCTCTCTGCCAAGGTGTTCTGCGACAACCAGCCTCTAGGACAGCGACTCTAATTCTCCTTGCAACTGAACTCACAGATCAAGAGGCTATTCAGTCTGTTGAGCATTTTTGAGACCTTTCTGGAGGAATGTGCACAGGGTTTTTACCCAGTGTTAGCAGAGAGGCAGGGTCTTGCCAGAGAAGATGCCATGGTGAGGATTATTTGTTTGTTGAATGTGGTCAGCTCCACCAGGGCAAGGATCAGGTCTGCTCATTCTCAGCCATTTACAGTATATCCTGGGTAGAGCTTGGCACACAGGAAGCACTCACTAGAGTCATGGATGGATGATCCATCCATGGATGGATGAATGGGTGGGTGGGTGGTTTTGCACAGAGAATGCTATTTCTAAGGGACTCATGTAGATTTTTTTCTTTCTTTTTAAAACATGAAATCACATGTCAGTCAGTATGATGTGAGGCTGGTGAAAGTCATTTATTAAAGTCACACAAGATAAGTTAGGTTGTGTTTTTAGCAATGTTCACCTTGTTTACAAGCATGAGTAATGTGGGTGCAGAGTTGTAGCCCCCACCTGTGGAATGGAATCAGGCCCCACTTGTGAAAGGCTTCCCATTTTCGGTCATCTTCCACTTGTAAGATGGCATCCTAAAGATACTTGTCTTGGGCTTGGAAGGTGGGAGAGGAAGACAATGAAAGAAATACTGGCCATTTTGGTAAGGAAAAGATACTTTATAAATCCAGTAGGCAAGAGAGAGGGGGTTCTTTCCTAAACAGAATGCCTTCAAGTATCTTTCTCTTTAGGTTCCATGGCGAGACAGGGTGATGAATGGGCTTCTTCAGGGAAGGAAGGGGAGGCCACACTCTCTCACTGGGCACACTTAGAACATTATTTCTACTGCTCCTGTCTGAATCAATCCTACATGAAGCATTTCAGTTGTCAGAATGTACTTGGCTGACCTGGAGTTATAAAACATGTTTCAACTGAGAGGGGTGAAAATTATTCTCAGGGAGAGGTGCGTGAGTTGTTCTTGGAGCATCATAATGATACCAATTACCTATTCCACAATTTGCAGACAGCATCCTATAATTTTCATTTTGGGGCACCATGATCTGTTTGCTCAAAAAACCCCCCAAAACCTAGCATATGCATGCAAGACAAACCACCTTCGATGGTTTCACAAACATTTGTGCATTATGGAAAAAGAGCAAAACCCAGAAATGCTTCCCTCCAGAGTGAGAATCCACCCATGGATTTCTCCCTTTTGGGGGTTTGTGCCTGGCCTCCTCTGTGCCAGCCTGAGAGCCTTCTCATCTGCTGCTTGAGGGACAAACCAATGCAGGCAAGACAATCAGCCCTTATGTGCTTGGCCCCGCGTTCCGGCTGGGAGAGCCCAGCATCTTTTGGCCCGCCTCTAGGACTCTTCCTCTCCATTCAAGGTTCTTACCAGCTCTAAAGGCCTTTGCCAACAAGGTCTAAGCAGATTCTTCAGGAGTCCAAGCTAAGAATGTTTCTAGGAGGGGATGTAGGATCAGTCTCAATTAGCGAGCAGACTAAACATTTTGAAAAGACTTGTAATTGTGCTATTTCAAATTCAGCTCAGAAGAAAATATTTGTGAAAGATAAGAAAAATGTGTAAAGGGCAGAAAATGCTCTAATTAAAGGAAGCCTGAAATTCTGAGGGTTTTTGGATTGACATCTATAGTATTTCATTTGAGAAGAGCCAGGACAGTTGAGAAGCAGAGAAACCCAAGGAAAATAAGTAGCTGATTTTCCAGTTTTGCACCTTTCTCTGAACTTAAGACTTAAAAAAATATTAACAGGTAGAATCAGGTTCAATGTAGGTTAAAGCGTTAACACTGCCTGGTTCTGGTGAGAGGTGTGGGAGTGTTTGGTGTTTTCATTTGGCTTCTGGATGCCCATTTGAATAGTCACCAATGTGAACTGGGTGCATGCAACCAGGCCCCAGCTGTGTGCAGGTGTATAGAGCACTCATGGCCAAGGTTGGATGGCACCAACTTTACCACCTGGAACTCCTCCTGGCACAAGAGCATTCTAGACTTTACTCCAAAGGAGGGTTAGTTGCTGATCTCACTAAGTCTTGACCATAAAATAAGTCTTGAGCTCACTAAGTTCCTGATGGGAACTGCTTTCCTCACCAGTTTGTTAGAATTTTCAGGAGTTGTCATCGTTTGATCAAAATACAGTGGTGAATCTTTGGTCATTTTAAAATTTGCCTATCACAGTTTACTGTTTAAGATGTTGTTTTGAAGCATCTTGCCCAGAAACTCTAAAGGGTGATTTGATGTCTGATCAGTGTGAGCTTGGAAACCATGATAGCAACAGGGACCCAGGAGTTCAGAAAACCATTTCAGGGTTTCCTTCTCAGAATTTGGACACCCAGATTAGAGAGGGAGGGAGGGAAGGAAGCTATGGTGATAAAGCTACCATAAATAAAGCTAACTTTTATTCATTGTTTTGAATAAAGATGTATTTGTGCAAAATAAAAGTCACTCAAAAATAAGACAGTGACAGGTAAAGGACATTGTTCACGTGAAGAGCTCTTAACTGAATGCAGAGCTGGGACTGTTCACTCTCCAGGGCTTTGCTTTCTTGTCACCACGGTCATCAACAATTGTGCCCTTGGATATGGATATGGAGAACTTGCTGGTGACCGCATTTGGGGGCAAGATTGAGGGAGCTTAAGGCTTCAGCATCACTCAGCTCCCCAGTGTACCCAGGAATCCCAGTGGGCCCCACCCTGGCAGTAGATGATGGGAGCAAAGCCTTGGCCTGCAGGAGAGGCTGGTGCACAGTGGCTTCTGTGCAGCTGTTCTCCGTGAGCATGGCAGCCTCCGAGTGCTTCCAAGGAAGCTGGGAGAAAGTGTCACAACTTCCCGTTCTGGCATGGTCCGGGAGGAGAATACAAGGGCTTTCAGACCCTGCAGGACAGATGGGGGTGGGAGGAAGCAAGGAGGCCAGCCCAGTCCACAGTCCTGAAGCTGGGTCCTGTCTCAGAAAAGCCAACAGCAACAAGGCCTGGAAGGGACCCGGGGGGGGGGGCGGGGGGGGGGGGCGCCCAGAGAGCAGGCCTTCCAGATGAATAGCACCCATAGGAACAGAAAACAAGACACAATTTAAGGCATTGTTTGTTTACAGTAAAAGAATGCAAGGAACCCTTAACATAGGAGGAATCTGGGCTCTCACTCTGACCTTCCTTGGTGAACAAGGCTATCACATAAGGTTAAAGCAGGACCTCAAAGCGAATGAAAGATGTGACGTCACAAGTCTTGTGCCAAAATGCATGTTTCTCAAAGAGTTCACACTCGCTCTCACTCACACATACATGGCACACACACGCAGAGGATGCTTTGGGGGTTGTACAAAATCTGAGGCAGCCCTGTGGGCGAGCGACCCCATGCACTTGGGGTATAAAAAGCCAACTCCATAGCCTGTTCCTTCTCTCTGGCCCCTCATGCAGGTTAACACTGTCCACTCTTGTGCAGGAGAAAGCATGGGGGACCCAACATGGGTCAGGTGCTCTCTAGTCGAAGCAGCAGCTGGTGGACGGACGAGGGCCCAGAGAGGGAAGGTGGGGTGCACAGTCTGGGGCCTGACCATGGCCCTGTGTGGTGGTGCTGAAGAATGAGTGTCATGAGAGTCGCTGGGGATTGGCAGGTGGACCCTGCACTGGTGAGCCCTCTGGACCATGAGGTCGCAGGCCGAGTCCCCTTGAGTCTGGCTGTGAGTCACCCAGCACCCTGGACAAAAGCCTGTGCCCAGGACATGCGCTTCGCCACCAGTCCCAGGCTGGGCTCCCAGAAGCCTCTGAAGTCACGCCAAGTCCTGCAGAGACTTACTCAAATGACATAAGGTTTGCAGGTACCTGGAAGAGAAAGCTCAGCCTCTTGTCAAAGTTCCAATCTTTTGGAATGGGACAAGGGGTGCCCCTAAGGGAAGGGATCAGGTCTTTCCCAGCGAGTCTGCGAATGAGCTGGTTGGGTGAGAAAGAGGGCCTCGCGAGAATAATGGCCACCGTTGTCAAGTGGCTGCTGTGTGCCAGGCACTTGACATCATCATGTCCTTCAGTTTTCCCGACACCCCAAGAGGCAGGTTCTGGAAATGTCCCCATTACAAAGATGAGGACCCTGAGGCTTAGAGAGGGGAAGCCCACTTCGAGTAAAATGTGAGGCTAAGGTCCCAGAGCCCACGCTCTCATTCACTTAAGCCTGGCAGCAAAATAAAACTGCACTTGGAGCGGACAGGGGGTAAATTTTGTAGGAATGGGCACAAGCCTCTGGAAGGAAAACCAGTGGGCAGGGGTGGGTGGGGAGGGGGTGGCAGGAACTGATAAGCAGGAGCACTAGGAGGAGTGATCAGGATGCCAGGACCCCCAAGACCTTCCCGTAAGCTGTGTCCCCAGGACAAAATCCCAGCTCCCCTTGCTGAGGAGACTGCCAGCCCTAGGTCAGGGTGCTTCCCTCACCTTTCAGAGCTGCCCCCAGCCCCAGGCTCCCCAACCCGGCACTGCTGCAGGGTTACAGGGGATCTGATGAGAAGCAATTTCATCAAAAATAAATCCATCTTGGTGTCAATTTGGTCAAGATGATGAATTGGAAAAAATGTATCTCCTTCCACCAGGAGATAGTTATAAGAATGGTCACAGCAGTACTGTTCAAAATAGCAAAAAGCAGGAAATCATTCCTGGGATCACTGCCAGAAGAATTAATAAAAAAAAATATATCAGTACAAACAAATGAATGACAGCTATACACATTGACACAGATGAATCTCAGGAACACACTGTAGGAGAAAAGCAAGTCACAGAAGAAAATATCCAGTTATGGTTCTATTTTTAAAAAATGTTTTTTTTTAAAAAAGGTACCCCAGACAATACATTAAGGAATCAAATACACATGATAACATTTTAAAGGAACAGTAAATAAATCAGGAAAGTGGTTATGAGGTTCAGGCAGATGGGAGGCACACAGAATTAGGAAGAGGCCCCTGGGGGAGAGAGGTGTTCTGAGGCCCGGGAAGGTCCTGCCTTTAGGCTCGGTGGGCAGGGAGCTGAGAGTGGTGGTCTTCTAGCTGTGGTTTACGCCTTACTGACCTTATCAATACGGTTCAAGTGTATTTGGTGTTAGTACAATTTTGAGAAATGCAAGTCCACAAAAAAGAAAACTAATCTTAGTCACTGAGCTTGTCCATGGGGGTAGATGCATTTCTGTGACTTCTTTCATTATTTGAAATCTGCATGCCATCACAGGGATGTGCTGTGCTTTATTTAAATAAAATGTTGTGTCGACTATTTTGCTGTTGCCAACTTTTTATGATCAAGTACAGTGTAGAGCAGGAATATATGGTTGAAGGTAAATTCGAAATAAAAAGGGAAAAAAAGTAAAAGAAATAAAAGATCCCCCTCCCCTAGGCCTAACAATTGAACAAAATTCTTAAAAGTTGCAAAACTTTGCCATGGCATACTACATTTGCCATATATGAAATTCCATCTATTTGTCTTTCTGACCAAACACTTGCGCTGCCACATGGGTTTGACCCAGTTTCCTGTTACCTGCTGTGGCGTTGCTGCCACCCTCTGATGACCTCGACCCCACAATACCCCACAGCGAGAAACAAAGGGCTTTTGTGAAGGACAACCATCGCTGCTCCCAGCTGGGGCTGCTAAAGTGCTGAGGCTGTTGTCTCTGGGCAGACCCCAAGGGGCAGACCCTCAGGCTGTGTTTCCCTCACCTCCCCCACCATCCTGGGGGCCCACCTCAGAGCTGTCCTTCCTGTCGAGGAGATGAGCAATTATATTTGTTTAGTGTAAAAAAACAAACAAACATATATATATATATGCTCTAGACCCCATGGAATTATACTTCCTTGCACATCACTTTAGGAATTTCACATACAGAGACAAACATACACCTTATAAATATGCTCATGTATTTTAATACAAATGAGATCACTCTTACATATGCTCTACACTTTGCTTTTTTAAAAAAAAAATTTAAAGTAATCTCTGTGACCAACATGGGGCTCGAACTCATGACCCTGAGATTGAGTCGCATGCTCTACTGACTGAGCCAGCCAGGTGCCTCTGCAGGGAACATACCTTTGTGTGCACGTGTGAGTCTATCACCAGGACAAATTCCTAGCAGGCAGATAGGTGAGGAAGGGGATTCAAGTGCAGTTTATTTTGAGCTTCTTTGTAGTATCTCACATTTTCCCTCTGTCAGACTTTCCTACTGTTTTAGTTCATCGAGAACTTTCTACTACTTCTGCTTTCTAGCTTCCCATCATCTATATAATCTGACCAGCTTGTCACCCATGTTCTCATTGGACGTGATGGATGAAAATCCTGAAGAGGACCAAACTGAGACTTCCCTCTGATTTTCGAGAACCATTCTAAGGGACCCAGAAGTCTGTGTGCTGTCCCCAGCATTCTCCCAAGACCCAAAGGCCTAGTGTAAACCAGCCTTTGCTGAGGCCCCCTCACACCTCCAGGCTGGTGCCTCCAAGCTGCCACCCACCCAAAGCTGGTGCTTGCTCTATCCCCAGCCTGAGAGGGACCCATTGGGCAGTGCCCTCTTCTGGCTGGTCACTGGGGGACATGGACAGCAAAACTTAGGGATAGAAGCACCAATCTGGCAGCAGCAGCCAAATGCCTCCCACTTGACTCCCAGTGGCAGGAACATCCAGCCTGCCCCATTGGGTGCTGAGGGCTGGAGCAGCCATGCCTTTCAGAAGCCTGATGGCCAGGCTGTGCTTCCAAGCCCTTAGCTCAGCTGCAGGAGGCTGAGCAAGCTGAAGGTCCTCTGGGAAGTGTGAGAAAGTGTGGAGCTTGGGGCAACAAGTATAGACTCCGGTGCAGGACAGACGGGGGTGAGATCTCATTAACTTTGGGAACTTGAATGAGTGTCTGCCATTCTCTGAGCCTCAGTGTCCTCAGCATAAAAAGGAGACAGTAAGAGAAACATACCTCCCAGGGGTGTTGCGGGCATTTGGCCAATTCTCACACGTAAAGCATTTCCTGTAATGCCTGGTCCTGGGCCCGGTGCAGATACACTGAGCAGCAGCCTTATGTGGCTCTCAATATTAGCTAATATTTTTATTCCTAAAGGTTTTGGGGCAGGGAGGCCCTTTTGTCAGTCTGGAGTATTTCCATGAATCAACTTTGGAGGGGAGATGGTCTAAATAGATGCTCTCTCTTCTGATCACTGGGGCGATACCACATTTGCCACCTAACTGTGCCCAGTGGATGTTTCTGCAGTGTTTCCTTTAGTGGGAAATACACAAGGATCAGATCCACAGTTCTTGTCTGGAGCCAGGCTTAGTTCTAAGCTTGAGCAGAGGATGCCCTGTCTCACGGAGAAAGGTTGATCAAAAAAGGGTGCCTGGGAGCATAGCTGATAGGCTCTGAGGGAAGGAATGAGTCCTGTTTTCTATGAACCCTTAGTCCCAAGGGTGGGAGAGGATATTTCAAGAGACAAGCAGGGTTTCGGTGACTTTACCTGAGGCCTGTTGCTTTTACATGCATCATCCAAATGCTTGTGCCACAGTATTGCATGAAAACGGGAACCAGTCTGGAACTTGTAAACATTGCCTGATGGGCAGAGAAACCATTAGGTTAGGAAGAGGGAGGGCCCCATGGGAAGGACTGCCTGTGACTAGGTCACGAAGATAAATGTGAACTTAGGTTAACCAAACCAAGGAAGGTCAGGAACAGCCCAAGGTAAGCATGGGCTTGCAGAGGCAGAACTTCTGGTGCCTCTGGGCTGCATCTGTGGACCAGGCCACTTAACCATTTTGGGGGCCATGATGCATTTGATTCTGGTGAAGCCTGTGGGCTCTTCTCAGAATAATGTTTTCAAATGCATAAAATAGAATACAAAGCAGATCAATACCACGGAAATATAGCTATCAAACTACTAAAAAACACTTGAGTGATACAGTTCTACACGTGCTTCTCTAGTAATGCATCAGTAACAAAATCTAGGGGCATGTTTGACACTGCACTATAATTCCAGAGAGAGGAGCAGAGATGCCCCTGAGAAATCTGCAACTATATGTGATAGAAAAGGATCTGTGGTTTCCTTTGGAGATCAAATCACAGGTGTTATGAACACTGTAGTAGTTTAATACTTAGAGAGGCACGAGAGGCCACAGAAAACAAAGGTATGATTTTTTTCCCCACTTGGGTTCACAGACCCCTTGAATTCTATCCACAGATCCTGGCCAACCTCTGTGTCATATTTCCCTCTACTTGGTGACATGGTTTCCTGTGGGCTAAGGCCCAAAAGTGGCCTGTGGTTCTCGTGGCCATATGGTCCCCAAGTCAAGCTTGCGTAGACACAGCCTTTACTTCCTCAGGAAAAGACTTCTAATCCAGGCCTTCTAATCCTGGAACCTTCAGGAAGGAATTCCAGAGGCAACCAGACCAGGATGTGTGACAACTGTGTGTAGCTATGCATGGATTCAATCACTTAGACATAGAGCAGAGAACTTGGCTCCTCTCTTCTCCAGTCCCTGGGCTCTTTGAGGTCCCTGTTTCTTTACTTCTCAGCTAGCAACATTACAACCCTGTGGTTTCTTTACTGCAGCAGCATCTGCATTACCTGGGAGCCTGTTAGAAATGCAGGAGCTTGGTCTCCACTCCAGATCCACTGAATCCAAATATGAATGTTCACTAGTTCCTCAGGTGATCTGTATATACCTGAACCTTGACTAGAACATTCCTGAGAAGATGTGAAGATGCTTGGAGACTTTACAGTCCCAGTGACTTTGCCCAGCTAGAACCCAAGATCCAGGTATTTCAGGGTTTTGTCATGTGACGTGGTCTACCAGAAAGACAAGCATGACCTATTCTTTATTATTATATTATTATTATTATTATTATATTATTATTATTTTAGTGTAGTTGACCAAATGTTACATTAGTGTCAGGTATACAACACAGTGATGCAACAAGTTTATATATCATTCTGTGCTCACTACAAATGTAGTTACTATGATCACCATACAACTCTACTAAAATATCACTGACTATATTCTTTTTTTTCCATTGACTATATTCTTATAACTTATTCATTCTGTAACTAGAAGCCTGTATCTCCCACTCTCCTTCACCCATTTTGTCCATCCCCCCACCCCTGCCCTCTAGAAACCACGTTTGTCCTCTATATTTATAGGTCTGATTCTGCTTTTTGTTTGCTTGTTCATTTGGTTTTTGTTGTTTTGCGATTCCACATATGAGTGAAATTAGATCATATTTGTCCTTCTCAGTCTGACTCATTTCACATGGAATACCCTCGAGGTCCATCAACATTGTCATAGAGGGCATAATCTCATTTTTTTTATGTCTGTGTAATATTTTTAGGGCTAGAGTGTGTGTGTGTATGTGTGTGTGTGTGTGTGTGTGTGTGTGTGTATCATGTCTTTCTTATATACTCATTTATCAAAGGACACTTAGGCTGTTTCCATATCTTGGCTATTAAAAATAATACAATAAACAAAGGGGTGAATATCTTTTTGGATTAGTGTTTTCATTTTCTTTGGGTAAGTACCCAGTAATGGAAGTACTGGATCATATGGTATTCCTATTTTTAATTTTTTTGAGGAAACTCCATACTCTTTCTTTTCCACAGTGGCTACACCAATTTAAATTCCCAACAACAGTACACAAGGGTTTCCTTTTCTCCATATCCTCACCAACACTTGTTATTTCTTGTCTTTTTGATTTTAGCCATTCTGACTGGTGTGAGGTGCTATCTCATTGTGATTTCTGATTTCCATTTCCTTGATAGGATGGCCTATTCTGAATGTCAGTGTAGACAGGGCTCCTAGACAAGAAGGTGCCCAGAACTTTCCTTCCACCCAATGTAGTCATGGGGGAAGGATGGTACCAGGAGGAAATGGGAGATGACCAGACAAGTTAAAGTTGGGGCTTTTGTAAAATGGCTCTTCTCTGATTTGGTCTTAGACCAGGATACTGTGAGAGTCTCATGGCACAGGTAATGTCAGGGACATCCCTGAAATCTTCCAAAACCCAAGACTCTCCCAGCCACATGGTCCCTGCCCTATGCAGCATTATATTATTTATTCCAAGACCTTGAGGCTAAAGCTTCCAAGGTAATGGGTTCCAGTAGCCACAGGTGAGGCCACAAAAGGCAGCTGTGTGCCATGCCCACTGCTCAGTGGACACACTGACCATGATCTAAGCAGTTTTCGTGGCCCAGTGAGGGGACACTCTGACCACAACCTAAAGCAAAGGGAAGGTAGCAGCCCCAAAAGTTCTTACTGTTTCAAAATGTACATTTGGCAGGAAAGGAAAACAGAGTAGAGAGAGGTTGTGGGCACCCAGTGCCCAGCCTGCTGCCTACCTTTGTCAGGGTTATTCAGCTGGAAGATGTCTGGGTGCTCAGGGTCATCAGGCAGCTGCACCATCCAGCCCACAACGGAGACCTTTTTGCCAGGTGTGGATTTATACTGGGGAAGAACAGCAGCATAACCAGGAGGCCCACGTCCTCCACTCTCCAAAGAAGCTGAGCTGGGTCTGGCAGGGTTCCTTCCTCCTCCTGCCACCTCCCCTGTTTTCCTCCCCACGCCCATTACCCCCAGGTCACACTATGTGAAGTCCCAGCCTGGAGAGTCCTTTCGTGGGACTTACGTGTTTTCTGTCTGTGCCCCGCAAGGACTTGGCTCCGTAGTACAGGAGGGTGGATCCCGAGAGTATGACCCAGTACCTGGTCCATGAGGACAGCTACAGAGAAGGGGAAGCAGAGTGGCAACCTTGTAAGTGGTGGGAGTGGAGTCTCCCCTCCCTGCCGGATTACAGATCCAGCTGCATGGTGGAAGGGTGCTCCCGTCCTCCTAACCAATGCCCTCACAGGCCTCATCTCTTCCTGGCACCTCATGCATCAATATCACTTTTACCCAGGGCCGGGAGAGGGAGACCCTCACCAGAGCCTTTGAGCTCTGAGCCCTAAGCCCTGTATCCCCTCTCTGGCTCCTTTACTCAGAGAGCCTTTCATTTTTTCACCCTGTTTAAGGCAGTGCCAAGGCAGGTGACTTGGCCCCAAGAAGGTCCCTGGAAAAAACATTTTTAAAACGCAGACACGCTAAACCATAGCCTAGTAGAACCATGATTTCTGTGCTGGGGTTCTCTGGCTGAGACTCAATGGTAGCACTTGGGAAGTCCTTATGGTTAGAAGTGGGGAAAGCCAACAGAGCCAAGCTACAGGTATTCTTTCTGTTTCTCTAGGCAGCAAGGCTGGGATTCCCTCTTCAGGAGAGCTCTGCTCCTCAGTTTAGGGAAAATCACTTCAATAAGCCTTTTGGTTCTGCAAATGTGAAGCAAGTATCTTCTCCTGAAAGGAACAAGGTTGAGAGTAGAGATGCAGATGGTTCTGTATTATAGCCTACAAGACCTCTTTTCCATGCTGGATGGAGCTATGTCACTGGAATAGTGAAAGCAGTGGCTTTCAGACCTCTTTGATGACACCCACAGGTGTGTATGACAGGGAAAACCCTGCTAGTGGGACTCTGTCTCTCCCTGGCTCAGGATGACTGGGCCCTGAATTCTGAGTATGGGAGAGAAGCAGGCAGGTCCATACAACAGGCTAGATACAGGGCCCCATGTCACAGAATGCTCTGTGATAACCTGAGCTCAAGGGACAAAGTGTGGCCCAGAGCTGGGGTGAAGACCCTCCTTACCCACGAGCCACCTGCCATCTGCACACAGGCTAGCATCTGAAGGTGACAGCTGGGCTAGCACCCTGGCAACTTCACTGTGGGCACAGGCAGGAAGGGTTATCTTCAGGTGGTTCCATGGGCAGTGGACAGGGCAAGCAGGGGCCAGGACGGGAGCGGGAGGGCAGAGCAGACAGGAGCTGTTGCTGCCTGGAGACACAGCGCACAGGCTGGCTGTTTGTAGAAAACCCTTGCATGGATGCTCTGTTGGTAACAGTACAGGGGTCTTTGCAGGTGGCTGAGGCCCTGCTAGGGGTGCGGGTCATGGAGCCAGTGACATGCAGGTCCAGCACAGGTGACCTGGGAACTAGCAATGGAGCCTCAAAGGCTTCCTGATGCTGCTGCCACAGGGAGAGAGGGCACCTGCAGCTGAGGGTACCATACAGGCTGTGTTAACCCTCTGAGGGGCAATACAACCAAATGCCCAGAGGTCTATGGGCTGCCACTGACCCTCGTCACAGCCTTGGCTCACTGCATGCTCACTGCATGTACTGCCATGCATGTGACATTCTTGCTCAGTCCTTTAGAATGTTGGCACTATTTTCTCCCAGTTTACAGATGTGGAAAGTGAGGCCCTTACACTCATTCAGTGGCACAGCCAGGGCTGGAGTGCAGGCCCTCTCTGATGCCCCTGCAGCCTCCACACAGAGCTGGGGTGTCTCTGTACTTACCGCGGGTCTCCGTCCTTCCTTGAGCAGGGTTTTCCTCCTCAGGGGACCCTCCATGGTGGGCACTGCGGCTGAACTCCCCAGTGTACAGATGCACGGGCCTGTGGGGCTAGGGGGAGACCAGTAGTCAGACACCGCCCTGGCGGGGCTCAGCTCAGGCCCCTCTCCCTCACAGGTCCCCACCGCCAAGTCCGCAGTGCTGTGCTGGGCCAGAGGGTGCAACGTGGTGGGGGCAAGGCCAGGGAGGGGCCCCTGAGGCCATGGAGAGCTTGAACAAGGGTGGCCCTGGACTGGCCACAGCTGAAAACTTTCACCTCCCTCACCTTTCTGAGCACTTCAAGGCCCTAGGCTTGGTGACAGTGCTCCCTATCATCCAGGCCCCAGAAGCACTGCCACCTGGTCCCCACCTCCGCGGTGGCTTCCTTTGGGCCCTCCCCTGCATTTCCACCTTCCTTTCCCCCCAGTGTAGCCCCTCCTGGCCCTGGCTGGAGCCTGGTGGAGCCTCCATCAAGTGGGGAGGTGGCGCTGGAGTGCAGGGTGCCCAGGGGGATTTGGGCCCACCAGACAAGCTCAGCGCCTTTGCCTCAGGGCTTCGGGTGCCACCTACAGGTAAGGACAGCCAAGCGAGGCCCTGACCCAGACCTGCCCTGAGGCCTGGATGGCAGCTTGTTTTCTGGGTAGGTGCTTCTCCTCTTGGTGCCCTTCCTCCGCATGCCGTGAACAGCCCTGCCATCCATCTGGCTGCTTGAACTGGAGACCTGAAGGTTTCTCCTCTTACCTCTCCACCCCCCGCCACCTATTCAATCCCAAGGATGCAATGATCCCAAGCCCTATGTATGTCTGACTGCCCCTCAGCCATTGCACTCCTCCCACCTTAGGCCAGAAACAGCTCTTCCTTTGGACAACTGCCTGTTGGCTGTCCCCTGGCCTCCCTGAGGGCACTCCTGCCTTCCTCCTGCATGCTCTCCAGTTCTCCATGCCACGGTCAGGATGACCTGGTCACGCCACTGTCACCCCCCCATCCCCACCCCGTGGTTGGGTTCCACTTCCCCAGCCTCCACCCCTTTCCTCTCTCATTCTTTCCAACACTGACTCTCCTTCACTACCCATGCCACCCTGCTCTTCCTGCCTCCCTCTGGCTTGGGGTGCTCTTATTATCCCTACACCTCCCCTCCTTGTATTTGGTTCATTCCTATCACTCTTCCCGTGGTTTCTCCAGAGAGGCCTTCCCTGCACTCCCTTTCCAGAACACCCCACCACCTCTCTGGGACCATCAGGGACCTGGGAAGCAGCCTCATGGACTGGGGTAAAGGCCGTATCTGGTGCATCCAGCAGCCTCGAGCACAGCTCATGGCATCCAACAAGCAGCCTAGAGCTAGTTGTCAAGTAAATGAGCACACGAACAAATGAATACCTATAGACGCAGCTCCGGGTTCTGGGAGAATTCCGAACTGGAACCCGCCAGTTGGGCCCCAGTGTGGCATAGAGACGTCCCCTGCTTCAGAGGAAAAGGAGTGAGTTTTAGCAACAGCCAGGAACAACCAGACACTCTGAGGAAGCAAGGGCATCTCGGACCCTAAGGGCATTAGCTCAGGAGGCTCCAACCCCAGCTCTTTCTGCACCTCCTCCGTCATGTTGCAGACACATCTGGGGCATATCTGTCACTGCCAGGCCAGTGAACACAACACCCCCAGAGCCTCTATCAGTGTCAGGGTGTGACTAAAATCAGGGCACACCCACTTACCCAATGTGAAGCTGACACATTTAATAGAAAATGCCGTACAGCCCAAATAGTCCATGGTAAGTCCAATTACAAGGGCACGCACAGAAGGAATTGTGGGCAGTCTTGCATGTTGGGCCTGGGATTGGGGGGGGGCATGTGCACCGTCTTCATGCACCAGGGCATAGCTCAATCCCTCTGTTTGCTGTGTCCTCTCCTTTGCTGGCCCCAGCCAGACCCCTGCCATCTGCCCGTGGGCTGCCCCTCTGGCTCCTCTCCCACCTGTTGCCCCCAGCAGGGAGCCTCTGCAGGGGAAGATGCGGTTTCCAGAGTAAGCAGAATCTAACCTACAGGGTGGGCAGGGAGGCTTCTGTCTTTCTGTCTCTTCTCTTCACCTTTTCCTCTTTCAGCAGGATGATTTCCTGTGTCCACTTGGTCCTCAACCACCTTCTACCCCTGCGGCATGGTGTCTCCCTGGGCCAGTGCTTTCCTTGCTTCCTGGCCAAACAGTGATGTAACCCAATTTAGAAGGTCAGACAAAGTCAAGCCTGCCTTTGCAAATACACTCTCCATTCTCCGCTGCCAGTCCTAGGTTGCTGCGTGCAGCCCCTCGGCACTGGACACCTGGGGGGTGGGTGGTTGGGGCCAGGCTCATTCTTTGCAGCAGGCGCATTACAGCAGAAGTGAGCTCAAGTTCCTCTTTGGGCGGGGCGGGGAGGGGGGTCGGGTCACGTGAATCCCTGCCCCTCCGTCCTCTGCTTGAGAAGAACTGTCCTTAATAACCATCTTGGGTCTGTGGTACAGAGGCCCAAGTTCAGGGCTGGTCAGAGTCCGATGGCCATCTAGGCCAATTGCCCATCCAGCCATTCCTCCTTAGGTGGTAAAGAGCCACAGCATGTGCTTAGGCCCTCAAGTCCTCAAATGTAACAGAGCTCAGTCTTTCCCCAGCACCCCTGGGTGACAGAGGATGGTCACAGGCCAGGAGCTATGGTGCAGAAGAGGCCCTGCCACAACAACTCCCAGCCCACACCCCGGATTGTCTTCTCCCTCTCCTCCATTCAGAAAAAGGCTTGCAACGCAGTGATGAGCAGGACATCACAGGTAACAATAAATCTGCTCTACATTATGAAAAGCTTCGGGACTTTCATTGTTACTGTCAACACTGCTGAGTACCTCACAACTGGGTCACAACATATTATAACCCCGTGCTGAGGCAGGCTGCTCGGAGGGCTCCTTCAGCCTGCCTCCGGGGTTGCTTTCCTCTCCAGCCATTACCAGAAATTTCTTATGAGTTGGGGCAGGATCTAACAGTGAACCTTTCTGGGATGACATTCCTTGTGCCCAGGGGACATCTCCTCATTTGATCTGGATTCCTGCCCTGAGCTGCTACCTGTCTGGAGTGGGACATGCAGCTTCCGTTTGCAGAGCTGGATCCTGTGGCCCCTTCTTCTCCACCTTTCTTCTTGTGAGTCTTTTTGCCCTGGTACCCAAGGAAAAGGTGTGATGACAGCAGGTTGTCTACCATTACCAGTAGTCCCACCAAAGGGGGGATGTGGTTGGTGCTTGCTTCTACCTCCCCTCCACCTTTCTCTCCTTTCTGAGATAGTCCACGGCTGCACACTCAATAGGTGTTTGCATGACTGACACTTTTCAATGGAGAGCTTTAAATCAGTGTCTTCCAACCAGTCTAGTCTTTTAAGTAGCCTTTTTCCATGTTCTTCCTAAAGGTGTGGGGTGCCCCCCAGTGTACCAGGCTGGTGGGGGGTAATAATGCAGGGGCGCAGAGATCACCAGTGAGTGTAGGCTCACATGAGCAAGATCATGACACTCACCATCTCACTGGAGCTTTAAGCATATTATCTTCCCCAGAAGAGGGAAACTGAGGCTCAGTGATGGGAAAACACTTGACCAAGGCATGAGCCTAATAAGCCAGGATGTGAACCCTGTTCTGACTCTACAGCCCAAGCTGCTCCCACACCTTTCAGGGCCGCAGGGAGGCTGAGATGTCCCATGTGGTGGGGTCTGCCACAGGGACTAGGTCTCCATGTGGAGCCAGCACCCTGTGGGTGGTGTCCGGGCATTCTCCTCCCAGAGGTGCCACTCCTGTGGGCCTCTGCTACAGCTCACACTGATCAGGCTTCGTCAGTGTCTGAGACTGGACAGCCCGAGCAGTCGTAGGTCCTGGTCTCTTGGGGTGGGACCACTTCCTGGGTCCCTTGGCCCCTGGTCTCTGCACCGGAGTCATCTTCCAGTGGCTGACTGGCACTAAAGAGCAACTGCCACTTATCCACTGCTGACCATGAAACACACTGTTCCTCTCACCTCTGTGAGGGGTACTGTTCCCACTCTGTCTTAGATGAGGAGACAGAGGCTCAAGAAGATGAAGCCACTCATCCCACTGTACTGGCCTGTCATTAGGGATAGAGATGGAAGTATTCACAGAGCGGGGATGGCTTTCCAATATGAGCAGAGGGCCTATGTCTGTCAAGCTGCTCCCAGTGGGGCAATTCAGAGCCTGCTTCCCTGGAACCTGGGGGAGTGACCCTGGCCTTGGAGGTCAGCATCACGGTGACTTTTCCCCAAGCCAGTTTTTAGAATAGTTAGGGTTGTGGTGGCCCACCTTCCTCCCCAGGTGAGCCCTGCAGGGTTGGAAGAGGGTTATGACGGTTGGGGACTATGGTGTGGCCTGAGCAGGAACCTCAGCTACTGAAACCAATCTGATCATGGCCTTGTTTGAGAATATTTGTTATTTGAATGTTCAGAGCCAGAAAATGCAAAATGAAGGGGCAGTGGTACCTGGTAAACTCAAAAATCAGGGGATTTCTTGGACTGACATGGAGAGTCCCACTCTGGAACCACAGACACCTTTTCCAACATGATGCTGGGAGCAGAATGTGGCTGAATGGTATGTAATTCAGGAAGGCCATTTTACTGTTTCTTCTTGAGGATGGATTTTGGGCAGCGGTGGGGAGAAGGGATGCAGCAGGCAACCCTACTCATGGGAAGTCTGGTCTGGGAAAGATGTACAGCTAGCAACCAAGTAGAACACTTCAGTCTCAAATAGTGTACAAAATGATAATAATGATGGTGGTGGTGGTGGTGGTGATGGTGATAATGATGGGCTGATGAGAATGATGGTATGATGATGATGATGGGGTGATGGAGATGATAAGGATAGGATGATGGTGATGATGGAGTGATGGGAATGATGGAGGTGATGGGGATGATAAGGATGGGATGATGGTGATGATGGGGTGGGATGATGGGAATGATGAAGTGATAGTGGTGATGGGGATAATGAGGATGGAATGATGAGGATGATGGGAATGATAGATGCCAGGCAATGTGCTAAGCAGTACTTTTTCATTATCTTGTCTAGTCACACAGGGCTTTTTTGTCCTGAAAATCAGGAATACTGTCAGGCAGGCACTATTTTTTTTTTTATTGTTTGTTTTAAGTAGGCTCCATCTCTAGCAGGGAACTCAATGAGAGGCCTGACCTCACAAACTCGAGATCGAGACCTGAGCTAAGATCAAGAGTCAGATGCTTAACCAACTGAGCCATCCAGGTGTCCCCAGCAAGCACTATTCTTATCCCCATCTTGCAGATAAGGAATCTAAGGCTTGGAGAGGTGGAGTGACTTGCCCAAGCTCACAACACTAGGAAGAGGAAGAGCAGGTCAGGCTGCTGAGGTGGAAGCAGCCAGAGTCCTGCTTAGGCCAACAGCATCATGAGAATTTTGACTATCCAAGGCAGGTCTGAAAGGCACCTTCCCCTCAACAGTTTTCTAGGTATACTTTAAGTAGTATCATGGGGATTAAATTCCCTCTGATGGGGAACAGGGAGAAGTCTTTGATAATAATAACATTGGGGTCCCAGTAATCTTGTCTTAGCAGAAATAGAGTCCTCCACCCCATCCTTCTATCTCAAGTGCACAGGGCCCTTTGAGGTACTAATGTGCCTGTGGAAGTGTCCAGGAGATGCTGTTCATTGACAGTGTCCACTTGCACCAGCAAACTTTTAACAGGAAGCCATCCCATTAGGCCATAGCTTGGTCATAGCTACTTCCTGAAGATTCACAGATAGGAAGCTGCCACTCTGAGTTCTGCTGGACCTTGAGACATCCCTTCCAGCAGTACTTGCTAAAGGATTTCTACTGCTTATAAGTCACTCACTCACTCCTCTCTCAGCAATGTCCTTGATCTACTGAGTGGGTCTCTAGGAGCCATATTTGCAATGCATATCTAGCTGAGTGGATAGAACACCACCCGATCCAAGACAGGTCAATCAGATTTTCTCTCATGGCAATTAGGAACTAGATGAGATGGAAAGTCAGGCTCTGTGGCTGGATGAGGTATAACATGTAAACTTGGGAGCTGTGAGGTGTCCATCTTCCCCTCTGTGAGCTGGGAAATCTAGAAATCTGGTCTGCAGAGAGAGAAGGGAGAGCAGCAGATATATGTGGAGGATTAATTTGAAATCGAAAGGGAATCCTGTCCACTGTCTAGGCCCTGAAATCTGAGGGGTTGTAGGTTTTGGACAGAGATGTTGTGGGCTGAGATTTCTCAGCAACCTGTGAAGCCACAGTAGCTCGTGGGCAGGGCCCAAGGACAAGGTCAAGTGAAAGGCCCAGGGACTTCTGGCCACTGTTCTCTCTCAGAGGAGCCTAAACTCCTGGGTGGAGCCTCATTTTCCAGACTTTGGTGTCTGTTGCTAAAAGCAAGGCAAGAGATGGTATCTTTGGGGGAAACCCACATCAGAAGCTTGGCATGTTGTCC